GGGATGCCCAGAATATGTTGTAGGGGTGCCCGGAATAGGTGGTGGGGGTGCCCGCGCTGTAGTGATTTTCGAAGTAGACTAATCAGAGCACAGTATTCCTAGGTCACGTGGCTGGAATGTAGCTGCAGGGTGGATGGCTAAGAGAGGTCAGATTGGAATTTGAAGCTATTACGCAAGTCACACATCGTGATTTGGCAACATGACTACACAGTAAGAACCTGCAGCTTCCGAACCTGCCAGTAGGTAGACATTAGCCGTTCTGGCAGGTTTCTAATAATAGAAAAGCCAAAACGCCTACCTGGCCCCTGCTTCTTAAACCTGCCAGCTACGAAGTAGACAAGCCCCAATGCTTCATGATTCATCCAACTCTCTCCATGGACACAAACCTCGTGTCAGTAAGATAGTATCATGAACCATCGGTCATGGATTGAAATCACTGTCAATGTTCCGATCACCAAATGAAAAGTAGGCTCATTAATGGGTAAGTCAACCTCCACACCACACGTTCATGTGGTCGGTAGCATTATCCCTGCTTTCTTGTCGAGGTCCAATATGTTTCATGGCTCTATTCGGTCATTCTTCCCTAAAGTCATCGCAGTCCAGTCAAATCTCAAGTTTGTGGCTCATGTCGTCCTTCATTGCAGCTATTGCCGTCCAGTCAAGCCTCAAAATTGGTTTCGAGTTGCCTTTCGTTGGAGTCATCGCAGTCCAGATAATGATCATGAGATTTCAGATCCCCCCGGTATATGTAACGGTCTCCGTCCGTACACAATCCGCAGATTTAGAGAGAGCTCATTCTCCGGATCTTCCAATTCTTTCCGTATTCCGTTCAAAATATGCTGCGATGCCTCCTCCGACAATGCTAGTATTCTGGAGTATATCTCCATCGCCGGCTCGAGTTTTTTCACAAACATTGGTGTCAATAGCATGCTAGGACCTCGCATTTTTGGCTCGGGACTCCACGCCCCGCTGGGAATCTAGGAAGCAAGTATCAGCGTCCGCTATTATCATCATTTTAAGTGTTTTCTTCTCCAATCCTTCTCCGATCCAGAATCTCGCGTGTTGCTCATACATACCGGGATGCGTTCCAACGTCACATCCTCAAATCCCGCAAGCTCCATAATCTGCTTAGGTAACCTGCCTAAATTCGCCCAGCTGTCTATCCTCTCCAACCCGGCCTCAATCAAACCATTCCACGTGGCCAGAAATGGCGCTTTCGTCAACAAGACGTCAGCCTCCGACCTCACCTTACACTCAAACTCAGAACACTCCCACCAACCCCCGGGCTTCAAACCATCCAGCACCAGCTTTTGCAACATCCTCCAGTTCCTAACCGACCCCTCCAGGTCCATCCCATGCACAAAATCATACTGCTTGTCTTCCGCCCACACCCACGCCCCATCGGCGGGAGCCTCCACAGACCGCACGCCTTCCATGTCCGGCAGTGGATTCGTATCTACCACAAACACGTTCACGGAAGGGCGAGCGCCGCGCATCTCCGCACCCCACCACATCAAACCCGGATTGATGTCCAGCACCCGGAACTCCGGATCCGTTCCGGTCGGCTGCCCCGTGATCGGCGAGCGGTACAACCTGTAGCCCATCACGTAGAACACTAACCAGTACCTCGCCTGGATGAACTCTGGCTGGGTTTCGATGGGGGGAAGCGGATACATGTCGGGGTCTGCGAGCGCTCGCAAGCCGAGGGGGACTGTCCCCATGGCGGAGGCGATTAGAACTCCTCCCGATGATGACCAATAGTGCGGGGATGCTTCACCAGGTACGGCCGGGATAAATCGCGGGGGGTTGACTTGTGGGCGACGGCGGCGCCGGAAACGGCCCGCGGGTTGAGAGGGGGCGGACGGGTGGGAGAGCGGCTGCGGCCAAGCGAACGGGAAGCGGATGACGAGGCGGTGTTGGAGCGGAGCCGGTAACGGGGTGCTTGGGGAGATGCCGTTCTCCTGTTGATGGGTGTGAAGCTGCTTGCGTCGTTTCGACGTGAAGACCTGGTCCTCCTGGGTTGGAGCGACACTCCGTTGCTGCGGTCCTCGGGTCTGCCATGCTGATGATGTGGGGTAATGGGGAGTATGACTAGAAATATGGTGCCGTTACTAATGTATGAATAGGTTTGCGATGATGTTGAATTCCGGAGTTTGGGTAGATGAGGTCGGGCGTCAAGGGTAATTGCCGGCACGAATTTTGATCGCGCTTGCCCTCCTCGCCATCGCGCTCTCCTCTACAGATATCAACTCCCAGCAAGTCCCAGTTCTATTTTCTTCAGATATCGCATCATCAGTCCTGTTTGTCACCACGCGTTTTCATACTATTAGTCATATTTCAAACTCCTGTATCTCGTTTGCTCAAGCGCAGAGTCATTCACCTTTTCCAGTCAAGCACCGTATATATATCTCCTTCTTTCAGAATTCTGAACCTAGTTCGGTCAGTATATTTATCTCCTTGAATCGCAGTATATCGTAATAGTAGTTTTAATCCTCAAATTCTTGAATTATATCGTTTTAGAAAGCGCCCAGCGTCGCCCAAAACCCAATACATTGCTCGCTATCGAATTGTTAATGCATCCTCTTTTGCTGCGGAGGTCTTAGCGCTTGCGACGACCAAGACTTCTTACAGCCTTGTTTGGATCCACTGTCGGTTGCTAAAGAAGACGACACTGTCGACATGGGAGACCACCTCTGCTTTCTCAAGCCGGAGTGGGAAAGCATCCGGAGTGCCAATACATCAGTCGTGCGTTGCCCCAAGTATACAAATCTTAAGTACCAAAACCGCTCTGTCTATATGTCTTCCACTGCGGCTGCTCACAAAGCGGTTGAAAAATCCCTCACATCTCAGATCACCTACGATCCCACGTATGGAGACCATTTCTTCCCCATACCACCTTCGCAATGCGATTAACTTCCTTCAACAACATGAGCATGACTCAGTCCAGGTTAACAACGGCCTTTCAAAGTTCCAGCACGCGAGGATCAGCTGAAGCAGACGATGAAACACCTGTCAAGCATCCAACCACCATCTTCGAGCTCGCACGTCGAACGACTGAACTACTGAATTCTCGGCGGTAGTCCGGCTGAACCACATTGAGTATACCAACTCAGGCATTGCGACCATTGAATCTGAAGCGGACGACCCCGGGTAGAATCCCTTTATATCTCTCTCCCTGCCCTCTGCGCGCGTCTCTGAGTATTTTTCCGTTTCCGCCCTCTCGCTGCATTGGCTCGCCGAAGTCGCCGAGGGCAGATGGAATCGTACCCACGGCGATAGAAAGTCGACCGGGATCGGACGCATTTAGAAGCGGTTGCATGCTTTTTGACTTCTCATTTCCTGATATATCGTTCTTTCGCCTTTTTATCATTAAATACACCTTGATACTCTAGAATATTCCACTTGTTGAGCGGTAGTCTTCACGTTGAAGCATACGCTTGGCTTAGAGGAGCGGCTGTTGTGCCGGTTGATTTCTCACGCTTCCTTAGAAACCAGATACAGTACCTGATGCGATTGATACTGCAAAGGTGAGGTTATGTATGTCTATCGACATCGTTCGGAACAGATTGTCTGACGCGTCCCAATGGTGGTCTTCACTAGGCTGCATTTCAGTGGAAGACGGTAGTATATTCTTTAGTGCGGAGATGGAGGCTGGAGGGTACTGCGGGTCTGCAATCCGCTCGGTGCGAGACCGCACCGTATACTATTTCATTTCCAGAACTCCACAACGTTGAGCTCTTATTGCTACATCACCTGCCGGCGCATACGCACCCGTTCGAGAGTTGCCGCATCACATTTGGTAATGAACGGCAACGAGAATCATGGTATGGGCCACAACGACTTCTACTTCTCTTACCTCTGCGGCTGCATTCAATTTCGACAGCCGATTTCCTGTCCGGCCCTACTAGAGCAAGATATCTTGGTGGTAATTGTCCCTTTTCGGAATTTCGAAGCACGGAAGGGAACTCGGACAAACACCCCTGCCACGGGAGCTAAGAGGCAGAACCTAGATTAGTATACACTCGACGCAGACGACACTACATGTCGGCTTTGTGAACATCTGGCTGCGTGTGGCGGCCGTCCTCGTAGCGATGACCCCGCTAGTCATCGCGAGTTGGAAGCTGAAGAAAGAGGAGGTGAGGGAAAAGGAGGATACGGCGGAGGGGGAGATAAAGAGGTGGGAGGAGGGATAGTGGAGAGGAGATTATGATGAAACAGGAGGGGCAGGTGGAGGGGACCTAGCCATCATCTGTGGCCTGCTCCCCTGCGGTTCCGCCAGAGAACACGGCAAGGCCGGCATCCTCCCAATTCATTGAACGGGGTCATCCCGTTCCAGGTAGTGGAGGTGCCGACCACCGCCCAGGGCTTTCGACGTTTCGCTGTCAGAATCTCTTGGTTTTACTGGGGAATTCCCCAGTCGAGCTCAAACGATCTAGCTTCTTCTCAGTGCATTTACTGTGTCTGCTGGCTTGCTACTTTTATGTATCATCCGAAACTTCGTCCCCGAATTCCGATTGTGTAGAACGTCAATTATTTGCGGGTTTTCGTTTCACATTGGTAGAATCCCGCTTATTCCTGTCGATTTTCGCTGGGTGTGTTTCCCGGCTGTACAACTGGCCTTGTACCCCTATATCAGTAGCATCCCCTATCGTTATTTGTGTTGTCGGAGTCAGCAATTCATGAGAGCAAGAGGGCAGACGCAATCTATCTACTCTCTTTCAAGTCCCGACTCCAATGCCGACAGTCAATGTAATATACACTCTTCTTCCTACTTCTCAGTCGCTTTCGCATCTTCACCATCTATCCCCACACCACCACCTCTCTCGGAGCAGTTCTGGGACAAGGCCAAAAAGAACTATGCGCGCCATGCTACGAGATAGATGCTATTGCGACGTCTAAACCGGGCCCTCCGCTCCCACCAACACCTACGGCTGGTTCGTGCTAGTTATGGTTCACATTGGGTCCATTGTTGCCGTGGTTGAGGGAATCCCCGCTCGTTACAAGGGGGTAAAAAGGGGGGCAGAGAATTGAAGGCGCTGGCTCCAGCGCCAGGGATGGTAGAAGGGGGGAAGAGGGATATAGAAGAGGGCAATGCCAGAGGGGACGGCATTCCCCTGATCGACCTGGCTGCTTCCGCTGCCGCCGCCCCTACAGCCATAACCTACGCCCACGCCGCCGAGAGAGGTCCTGCTCATTGGCAAGCATGCGCTGAGCAGTGACTTGGATGCCATGGAGCCGGCATTCAAAGAAGGTGTCGAGGATCCGGAGAAGCTCAACCCGGAGGCTCGTAAGTCTCTTCGTCGCCTTGACAAAGAGACTTTAGACAAGTCGACCGTTCGAACCTATCGCGAATAACTCGTGCATCTTAATCATACTCACTACCGAACCGCGCTGAGAAGTGCCAAGTCAGAATTAGACATGGTGAATTCGCATTAGCGAGTCATACTTTAGCAACGATGTATTCAGTCATTTCAGCGGATCCATTGGATAATAGATGGGATACGGTCTTCTCATAAAGGCAGGGGATATGGATTTTACGGCGTGTTTTCGGAGCGTCTTCACTGACGCAACAATCGAAACCAAACTGTGAGTGCGAAATACAAGGTATTGGTCGCAGTCGATGGAGGTGATTTTCTGGCTCTGTTGATACCGAGGCGCCGCTCCTCCTCTCAGGTGTTCAATCCGCCCCGAGTATTCTCTGGGGCGGTTATGAGGGTGGTCACATATCCCATAGTCAGACAAGAAGCCATTCTGGCTTGCCGTCAAGGAGATCGCATACGCTGTCTCAACATGTCTGCCCAAGACACTCTTTGGGTTCAGGGGCATTCATCTGTTCCGAAGCTATTCCTGCTTCAAATTATTTTCATGGAGACTTCCGTTCTCGAGTCCCATCGTCTAATACTTTATATATATCACAATCAGTTATACTACTATGCGTATGATAGATCAGACGTCTGCGGACCTGAATGCCTTGTGGATTTTGTAGCCTGGTAGCTCCGCGACACCAGGACACATAACGCCTCGCACACCAGATGATTAGATTCCTCCCTCATAGCAAAAAATTCTGTGTTTGCCTCGGAGATTCCCTACAGTGAGACTATTACAGTGCCCAAACAATCTGCGAGTCCTAATTCTTCGTGTTTTAAAGTTATTCATTCAATTTTTCACACTGCAGCAAGGGCTGGACACGAATATGGATAAGGATTTCGGCTAGTTATTCGTATTCGGTGCGATTGGAGAGCGACTGATTTCGCAAGAGCAACATCAACAACGAACATGCTACCCCATCTTTCTACAGATCTTCCATGATCTCGGTATATCCCTTCCGCTCAATTCCCACAAGGTGGTAGCCCGTCGACTTGAGGTAGAATTCGGTTTATGCCGGGAACAACTAATTGACGAGCTGGATCATATATGCGAAACCATTGCGCTCTCGTTGGGCCCCTGGACTAGCCAGAATGCTAAAGCTATGTTGGGAGTCCTTGGTGTCCTAGGGAAGGGGGCGGGGGGTAGAACTGCAAACCATCCATGTGTGAGCAAGTGTGGTAAGGTAGTAGAGGGGAGAGTTGAATATCTCACGCACAAAGGGGCGAGGGGATTTCCTCTTTCCTTTAGTTTAGATGATGGAACTTGGTAATCGCAGACCTTGCGCATCCAGACCGCGTCAGTCGTCGCGATTTGAAATTTCTATAGTTATGAATTCAGTCAATTTAGTCACTTAGAGACAAAAACCGGTCTCAGGAGCAGAAAAGCACGGTGTTGACAATCGTGGATGCAAAGACACTTTTACCCATCTTTACAGCGGAGTCCGCTGGGGACTGCTGTATCTGCTTCTGGCCAGCGGAGAAGCCGGTGAGTCCGTAGCGCGGATGAATACGGCATCAAGAGATCAACGCTTCGCTCCCGACTGAATGGCTCAATATCCCACCAGGATGGAGCTAAAAGGTTTCAAAAATTGTCTCCAGGTCAGGAGAAATGGCTCGTCGAGTGGATTATAGAAGAAGATGTCGCTGCTAGGGCTCCTTCGCACGCAAGAGTCCGTCAAATGGCAGAAGCAATCGCCAGAGAAAGTGGAGATGACACCCCTTGCGGCAACCATTGGTCCGAGGGCTTTATACGACGAAATCCCGAAGTAAAAACCATGGTAGGGCGATCGATCGAGGCCTCTCGCGTAAATTGCGCATCGAAAGAAGTTATCCAGGAGTTCTTTGAGACCTATCGACGCGTTTGTACGAATTACAATATCAAAATCGCTAACCAATGAAATTTCGATGAACATGGACTCTCCCTTCGATGCGGGACCAACGGAAGAGTAATCGCCCCTGCTCGGACTTCGTCCAAAGGACGTAAAAAAGGCCATACGTACGTCAAATCACCAGAGGATCGCGAATGGGTCTCGGTGCTTGAGGCTATCTCCGCGGCCGGCCGCACAATCTCCCCCCTGATCATTTTCAAAGGAAAATCGGTCCAATCTTCATGGTTTCCACCATAGGAGGAATATATACCAAACTGGCACTACACGAGCTCTGAAAACGCGTGGACTTCTAACGAAATCGGCCTTCAATGGGTGGAAAAGAAGTTCTTGCCCGAGAGCAAGCCCCTAGACTTCGCCGCGGACGAATGGCGACTTTTAGTGCGCGATGGACACGGTTCTCACGCCACGGTAGAGATCATGAAGTTAGCCAAGGAAAACCGAGTATATCTTTTGTTTTTGCCCGCTCACACGTCCTACTTCCTGCAGCCCCTGGATGTTTCGGTTTTTTCGCCCCTGAAGTCAAAATACTGCAAAGAATTGAGTCAATTGTCATCTCTTGACGACTCTGCGCCTGTAAAGAAGCATAACTTTATTTCTATATATCATAAATCACGAATACAGGCTCTGAATATACATAATATCCGTGCGGGATTCCGTGGCACCGGCATGGTTCCGTACAACCCCGAAAAAGTCCTGAACAGCACCCAATTGAACGAGAATCGCGTAATACAACGTCCTATTACCCCTGAGCCTACTTTTCCTACATTGTTTCATACGCCAAAAGGGCCCCAAGACGTATGTCTCCAAAAATATGATGGGATGGGGGGAGGGATTTTCGGGGCTTTCAGGGGAAAGTTGCGAAGGGGTGCACGAAAACAGGGGTGCACGAAAATGGGGCCCGCTGACTTAGAGATCTGGACTGACGGGTGATTTGTTGAGACTGGAGCGTTTTAATGGGCGCTCTCTCGTGTCAAGCAAGAGATCCGCAGGAGTGGTAGCATCGACATTCGTCAATTTCACAAATGAAATTGTCAGCCACGTGGAAGAATTGAACCCCTGTTTGGCTTGCAACTGGGCCTAGAGTAGTTTAGGTAGAGATATATAGATCTAGCCAGTCGCTCTGAAGCACACCTAGGACTGACAAGACGGCCGGTTGTAATGGAATATATCTTGTGACTGGGTTTTGACGATGAATACGCATTAGGAGTGCCAACCAGTCAAATCAGTCGAACCTTAGCAACCGGGCACGGTGCGTGTTCGAGAGTACCCAGCGACTTAGACGGGGCACTTATGAGAACACATTCTGTCAAGGCGATTCGGAGAATTACAGATATACTCTACAATTCTTCATCATTGCTATCTCCATTCTCTCCACTTGTCCACCAAAGCCGCCTACCATCCCTTACCCACATCCCGCCCCGCTTTGCCGAACAATCGCTGAACTCATTTCCGCTTCCGCTCAATCCGAACTCAACTCAAGTGTGTGCGTGTATGATACATGTAACGAAGCCCTGCAACCCAAGCCGCAGCAGCTCCATCTCTTCATGTAACATGTTCCGCGCAAAAACGAATCGGACATGCCGAAAAGGGGCGGCGATGGGCATTCAACGAACGGTGGAAACAAGGTGCCAATTTTCTAATAATGCAATGGTATGATGTCGCTGTTTTTTTTGTAGGATGCGCTGGAAGGTGCTAGGAAAAGAGGGCGCTGAAGCAGAACGCCCATGGATGCGTACCGGATCCAGTTCGCTGGTGCCAAAGCAAATGCGCGTCAAAGTGAGCAGAAAAAGGAGGATCGAGTGTAGGTGGTGGGCGGTCGGATATAGAGGAAGAGAAGGTCTAGTGCTGATGAAGCCGTCGAAAGTATTGCCACTGTTGCCTGATAAAATGATCCTGTTGGATGCGAGTGGTCTTTAGGATCGAAATCGCTTAATCACCCCGTCCACGACCACCGCGATGCTCCCCACGTCCGCGTCCACGAAATTCGCCACGGCCTCGATATCCGCCGCGGCCCCGTCCGTCTCCACGTCCACGGTGTCCACCTCGGCGCTCTCCACCCGCGCCACCACGGCCGCGCCCACCACGTCCATGATGCACCTCATGGAACCCGTCCCCGCTCGCAGGCTGGAATTGCTGCTGCTGGTCCGGTGAATCATCCGCCCAGGCTAATGTCTGAGCCGGAGCGGCGACCGTTGGGTTAGAGGGCTCCGTATCGGTGGAGTCGCGGGAGACCATGAGGTACGACTCGGCGAGCGGGTCGTCAGATCCGGTGACACGGTCACCATTCCAGGTTTCTTCGGCGGCGGCATTCCCCTCGATGGCTGTGCGGGTTTGCTCGAGTACAGGGGAAGTTTCGGCGGCAAGGGCTTCCTCGTGCGTGCCGTTGGGGATGACAGTTGTAGCATCCTCGATTTCGGTTAAGGCCGCGTTGGCGACGGTTGGGTCGGTGCCGATGGTTTCAGTGGCCGGGTCCTCCTCGTAGCCGGATGATTCGTCGCCAAACTCTTCGAGAGCAAGGCGTTTGATCTGGGCGTCTGAAGAAGGGATATTAGATCAGGAAGTCATCGGAGAGAAGTTGACTTGTAGACTTACAGGTGACATCGAGGACTTGGCCCTCGGTGGACGGAACACCTTCTTCGGTGCCCTGGATGATCTTCTCCGCAGCCGCCACCGCTGCGCTATCACCGCCGTACACCAGTAGCAACGCGCCCTCAAACGCCAACGCCTCATCCGATTGATCATCATTGAGCTGCCTCCGTGCCGCCGCGGTCCTCAAGAAGCGGCTGAGCGTCAATAAGCGCTCTTTCAACTCCGTATTCGCCTTCGCCGCCGCCTCGGCAGCCAGATCTCCTCTCAACTTCTCCAGCTCCGCCTGATGAGACGACACCAACTTGTCCTTCTCGGCTTTGAACAGGCTATGGTGGTCCGCGTCGATCTTCTTGTATTGGGCGACCTGCTCTTCGAGCTGGGCGAGTTGGGCCTGGAGCGCTGGCTTCTTCTGGGCCTGGGCTTTTTGGTCGGTGTTGATTTTCTTGGCCTTGACGAGTTCATCGAGGGTCAGGGAAGGGTTTTCTGCGACAATGGCGTCCACTTTGGACATGGAGTTCTAGAACAATAGTGAGCTTTATTGCGGGATAGATGTCGCAAGGCTGCGGTGGACGCGGGTGCTTACCAGCTTCTTGTTGACATTGCGGATTTGCCTACATAGCCATTAGCATGCGATATCGCTGAGCATCATCCAATCCATCACTCACTTCTGAAGTTCCTTGATGTAAGGATTCTCGTACCCGAACTCGCCGCTGGCCTTCGCCTCCGGGTTCGGAGACTGACCACGTTCGGATTCAACCTTGGGCGTTGGGGCTTGAGCGGCAGGGGAACCGGCATTGGCAGCTTCAGTCTTCGCCTTCTTCTTGCGAGAGGATTTCGACTCGGTCGCGGGGGGGTTCTGAACGGATTCGGAGGCCATGACTGTATGGATGCCGGGACTTGAGAGAAGGTGTTGCACGCAAGTGATGGTTGCTGGTAGGCAGTGTAGTGTATGTGTCAAGTTGCAGTGAGGAATGATATGCAGTTGATGAAGTCGGAGATAATTATGAAAGAGCGGTTGTAGGGAAGATGAGGAAAAGTGCTGGAGTTCAGGATGGTTGGACGAATGTTTGTGTCTTGTGAATGAACGATTTTGAGATCTGCATAACGACGGGGATGGTCCCTGGGAAAAGAGGAGCTCCTTATTTCACGCCCCTTTCGCCGCCAGCCCTATTTCTGGTCTGAGTTATGGTACCCCAGTGTCCTCGAACCATCCGATCAACCGAATGGTATAGTTGAATTATATTGCCAATGATCTTGTTTTCACTGTGTTTATGATGTGCGGTGTGGAGTCTTATAGGAGTTCTCGGACGAAGGACTTCATGCTCCAGAATCCTCGATGCGTTTCTGTGAGAGTATCTTCTATGTCCAAATGCTAGGCACCTACGCCCTACACGGCCCAGTATCTTCGAGAATGTTCCTCCTTCCAGGTTGGTAGGCTTCGAATGCCAAAGCCCATCAGACCTGTACTAGAAATTAGAACCTATATCTCCAGCCCCGGTTCTCCTGTCACCATGCATTCATAGGATACCCTTCCTCCCATGCCTCTCCATCGTCAGGCATTTCCTCCGGCCAGTCCATCTTCTCCAGCTCCCGGACGAAAAAGTCCTGCTCCTCCTCCAGCAGGCCCTCCGTCGCCCCCATCTTCTCTGGGTATCGCCTCAAGTTATGCCAGTGCGTGAGCGCCCGTAACGCCTGCTCCAGGGGGAGACTCTGGTCGACCTCGGCGTCAAGATCGCTACCCGCAAGCCAATCATCGCGGAGCTCCGGTCGACAGTGCAGGTAGACCGCAGTTATGACGCGCATATTCGTCTGCCGCCATTTCCTCCCACAGTATGGCACCTGGTTTTTGAAGAGCTTGAGCGTGTAGAGGCGAAGCTCCGGTTGCGGGACTTTCAGCGATTTGCGGAGGAATTGAGAGGATTTATACGAGACTAGAAGAAGGTTTCGATGGGCTTTGTTTTTGCACATCTTTTGAAGGATGCGTAGAAAATTGATGCTGGAGAAAAAGTTGCGCCAGGAGAAGTTGGTGATGGGCTCGGCGGGTAGTTCGGTGGTGGGGACTCCCATTTCGTCCACTTCGGGAGGATGTTGGACGGACGGATGTTGCGGGTCGTGAGCAATCGGATGGTCTTGATCTTCTCGACGGCGTTTGATCACCGGTGGAGGACAGGCTTCGTCGCTATCGTCGTCGTCGTGTTCTTCTTGGGTATGGTCACCGCCGTGCTGGGAACGCTGCAGGCAACCTTGAAAGAAACTAGGTAATCGTCAGTATTAAATCTTGGTCGAGAGTATGGGAGACAAACTTCAAATCTTCCCTTTCGCATTTATAATTCACAATGCGCTCAACCTCTTGCGTTTGCATTAGCTTCAAAATCATGGGTATATAGTTCGCGTCAACAAGCAGCTGCGTCATGTATTCGGCCTTCAAAACGTCTACACCAACGCGAGTCAGCGTTATAATAGTACGTAGAAGCAAGATCAGCTTACGGGAAACTTTGAACCATTTCAACAATAGAATAAGAATGCCAGAAACGGCTTTGGCAGTGATTTCCTGGGAGCGAACCGCGTCTAATTCCTCGTTCGAGGACGAAGCAGTGTCCGGATGCAGGCCGTTCGCAACGGTTCCATTCTCCATGCCATTTTGCCCGTTGACCTGCGTAATTAGAGCCGTAACATTGGTAAGGATGACCTTCAAAAGGACCATCACCAAGGATTGCAGGCAGGGCAGATTATCTCGCTACTATGCGTCAGCTCACCGGTCATTTGCGATTGGAAGAGTACTCACGTAGAAACGTTCCACCAGCTCCAACCTCTCCTCCACACTCCCATCCTCATAGACCTTTTTCTCCGGACCTTTGCTTTCCGCCTCGGCATTTCCATCATCTTCCAAATTCAACTTCTCCACATCAACATCGTCATCACTCAACCCTTTCCAGCCCCGCTCATACTTCATGAACGCCACCCGCTCCTCCCAAAGCTGCTTCATCGCTCTCGTCGCCCGCATCCGCTTCGCGAACAACTCCGCCGCCTCCAAAATCGACGCAGGGATGTCCGATCCTTCCCACCTCCGCCCAACCAGCGCATCTTGTAGACCCGTGCTGCCCTTCCCGCCGAGCTGGTTGCTCATCTCGTCGAGTGGCGGGTACAGGAAGGGGAACAGTTGGTTGGTTTGGTAATTCTGCTTCTTCCCGCCCTTCCCACCTGGACCGGCGGGGGAGGGTGGAGGCGATGGCGCGGGCGTCGCGATGTGCACAGGCTGGTGGAGGATGGAGGCACCGCCGGCATTGTTGGTGGTGGTGGAGACGCCGGCGGTGAATTTGCTGTGCGAGGCTTTGAGGGGTGGGAGAATGGAGTTGTTGTCGGGTTCGAGAGGGAAGAGGGGCGGAGGGGGATTGTAGGCGGGATATTTGGAGCTGATTTCTTGTCGGAAGAGATGGTAGTCGAGCGGAGAGGCGGTGATGAGAGGTTGACCTCGACCATCCGTGTCGTCGGCAGTAGGGTTGCGGAAAGTTCGCTTGGCGGCCTCGACGCGTCCTAAGCCGCCGAAGGTGACTAGGACGGACTTCCATGTCAGGATGAGGATCTTATTTAGAGGAAGATCCAGGGAGTCGTCCCATCTGATCTTGTCGATGATATGGACAAGGAAATCGAGGAGATTCGGCTGGAGGTTGAGTAGCTTCCTTCTCTTGCGCAATTTTTCATCCGGATCATCATCTGATCGGATGACCCCCAGGCTCACATAAAGGATTGTCATGGTGCTCCGGGCAATGCGATGTAGTTCCTCCTTCTTTTCGTTGGACGCCGCAGACTGCTCGTTCGGATCAATTGCGCAGCACCGCAACAGCGCGTTCCGGGAAATTTCGAAGACTGTTTGGAGTCCTTCCACATCCAAGAGCATTTGAACGTTCGCTTTAATCCAATCAATCTGAACGGTAGACTTAGCGAACGTCTGGCTGGGACCCATGAACTTTCGCTTCTCATCCGAAGGAGATGAATCCCCGCTCCTCTGTAGTCCAGCAGTCTCATGCCAGCAGCCCAATACTAGGTAAAGAAGCGTGTCCAGATCCGCCAGTCCAAACAGCTTCTCGATATCCCCCTCCACGCGCTTCAACTTCTGCATAATCTTCTCCAGGAATCCCAGCCTCTTCGCCGGACTTGAGCTCGTCCAATTGCGCGCCCCAAGTTCATACTCAAACCCATTGACCTGCACGCTCCCATTATGTTCCTTCCAATCATGCATGAACGCCGTCTCCGCCCTCAGCAACATGTCGGATTCCTCCGTGCCGTACGAGAACCACTCCTCGATCTCTTCCGGCAAGGATGCCGCGTCGGAATATATGAATGCGTACGGTGTCACCTCGATCTTTGGAAACTCCGCAACGAGGTTCCGCAGCTGCTGGAGGGACAGCGAGCTAGTATCGGGCGTCGTGATCGGCGTATTGCCTGCATGTCGCTCGACTGGCTGCGGCGGGGGTGGAGGTGGTGGCTGATGCGGTGCTGGGACGGATTGATTCCGGCGCATCCCAGGTCGCGGGCCCAAAGATACTCCATCTTGATGCGCTAAGGGACTAGGAGCGGGAGAGTCTTGGTGTTCGCGTTGTTGTTCGACAGTGTCGAGTGGCGCGCTGTCGGCGGGGTCGTCGACGCCTTGGATGGGTTGGGAGAGGATCAGCTCGGCTTCATCAACTCCTTCGGGGACATCTGGTGCAATGTGGACATTGGATCCGGGGCCGGGTGGAGGAGACATTATGAAGATACGGTGATACACCAGCGTCTGGAGGGGAGTTGGAACGAATGTGGGATAACGATCGATGGTCGGTCATGCTTGGTTAGGAGGCATGCGGTGTGTTTTAACACAGCAATGTAGGGAGATCCATAATTATGAGTTCACAATCAAGATACTTCATGTACATCTCACAAACATGATTATTTCCTATCAGGTACTCACGATGTGATGCTCTATGAGGATCTCAACGTTTGATTCACTGTCCGGTTGATCTTCGGTAAATCTCCGTTAAGGGGGTCCTTGAGGCGCCGTATCAGATCCCACCACGACAGACATCCAGATGTGGGTTAGAATAGGGGGACGAACAAACATCAAAATGCTTGGTTTATTATTCAGTAATCACCGCCTAATGTCAGATGAGGCGTATAGAGATGCACTATTCGACAGATCTTAGTTGATTGTATAATGATATACAACGTTGCTCTCATAGACAAACGATAATCCATACAGGGCGCCAACCAATGACTTTTACCTACCCGTGCCCATTGCATGAATGCGAAGCTATAACTGAGCAATTACAGACTGTTCGAGCACAGATACCCGTGGTCGGAACTTGCTCCAACCAACCCCCACCACGCTACCTCAACTCTCCCAAACTCTCGTCGCCGCACTCCGACCCCCCATCCCCAATGGCGCCGCTACCTCCAACCGACTCAACTGCTCAACCACATTCTTCGCCCTTTCCCGGCAATCCAGATCCCCATCATTCAGCAGCCCCTTAACCTTCTCTTCCCACCCCAGCCTCCGCAACTCCAGCGCACGCAGCCGCGCGCCGTCCGCGTCGGAGTTGTCGTCCTGCCAGATGAGGTTGAACGCGAGCCAGCAGCACGCGACGCGGACGCGGCGGTCGGGGTGGTTGAAGAGCGGGGTGATGAGCGGGGGGAGGGAGGGCGAGGTAAAGTGGAGGAGGAGGTGGCGGTGCTTGGCGGAGCCGTTGGCCATGTGGATGAGGATGAAGATCGCGGCGACCATGACGGAGGTAGGGGGCATTTGGGCGGTGGACGCGGGTGCGGATGGCTTGGGGTTGTTGGTGGATTTGTAGCCGAATTCGAAGGACGGGGTGGCAATGTGGGTGTATGCGGGGGAGGTGGAGGAGAAGGCGGTGGGGTTGGCGCGGAGTTTGGAGGCGAGGATCTCGAAGAGTCGGTCGGTGCCGAGGGCGTCGAGGAGGTGGTCGATGACCACTCCCATATGCTGCCCGGGCTCGCCGATGATGTTTCGGATGAAATCGAGGGCTTGTTCCTGGATTCGGATACGGTCGCGCTGTTCCTTGATCGCGGGGCTGAACTCGGCTTCCTTGATGGCCCTCAATCTGACGCGGTTCTGGGCCGACGTAGCCCGGACGTTGTATTTTGGGAGGTTGAGTGCCCCGATGCTGTCCGTCATGGCATCATCGTCCTCTTCGTCATCCTCCGATGACACCGAATCGACATCCATTAAAGGTTCCGGTGCGGCATTCAGCAGATCTACCTGCTCACCGGCCGCATTCGGAGTGCCCATGCTCAGGGAAGGAGTGTTAGGGCCAAACCGGACATCGGCACTTATCGTTTGGACGAGCCATCCACTACCCAATTCCTCGAGACAGCTAGTCTTGAGATCGACCGGAGCAGAGTGCATAAGATGTTTCAGTGCCCACAGCGAGGTGAACTGGAGTTCCGCGTCCGCCGAATGTGCATGCATACACAGTGTCTTTAATGCATCGGTATTTTGGACCTCCGATCTCATCGGACTGAAGTGTAAGAGCAAGTTGCAACACGCATTTGTGGCAGCTAGCTGCACATCAAGTGACTTGTGTTTCAGCAGCCTCAGAACTGGAACTGCCACGCCTGCATCGATCAGATTCGTTCGCAATACATGTACTGATCTTGACAAGGCTCGGATTAAGTCGCAGGCAGCTACGATGACAAAGGTTGGGTTGCCTGCATTTTTGCGGTCTTGATCTTCGTAGGCCGGGATAGCGTCAAGGCGTGGAACCAGAGATTCGACAATGCAAGGAGCCATGCCTCCCTCCGACTTGATTAACTCCCTCCGGTACATGTCTTCTCGCTGGACAATTGCGCTCAACGCAGTCATGGCGGCTGCTCGATAGCGCAGGGCATGTAGCGTTTGGGAAACCATTCCTGGCTCTCCAAGCGTCGTGGCGGGTGATCCGCTCAATACGTTGTCCTTCTCGACTTGGTGCGGAGACCACATTTGAGTATTGGTTGTGGTGATACTGTCGAAGGATTTCTTGACGAACGTGCAAAGCTTCGGGGTAGCACCCGCGTCAACTGCTGCAGATTGCAGAGCTGGACTGTCCTCGATCAGGCGCGCTAGAGCGATTGGAGCAGACTCTTTGATTTTCCTCGCAACCGGGAGGCTCTCCTCGGTCTTTGACTTCGAGGATGACTTCTTCGATGGAAGTGATTCGTCCAGCATTTTCACAATCAAAGGCACTACAAGAAATGCCAGTGTTCGGTCGCGGTTGCGAGATGGCTCGACCCAGATGTCGAGCGAGGACGAATTATTGTCGATGGCTCGCACCATGAGTGTGAGGAGGTTGATCGCTGATAGACGTTCCAGGCCCGTCGTGGTTCTCGATGTATGAATCAGCCATGCTATGAGCGGACTGCCAAATTCGCTTCCAGATATCGGCCTTGAAGACGGCTGCGGCTGTCCTGATGGATCACGAAGCGCCGTCAGCCCGAAATCAAAATCCTGACCAGCTTGCCGCAACCCGCTGGTTAGGGAGCTCAGGGCAGGGAATGCTTTGGAATAGGTGTACTCCCTTTTACTTTGCTCGGCCTGGATTTGTGGTAGAAGCATATCGATGCTTTCCGGTTTTTGTACAGGACCTCCCGACACATTAAAGGTCGATTCATTGGGAGGTGGCTTCGAAGATTTGGTGATCGGAAAGACACTGTAAATAGGTGGCGAGTATAGTAATCTCGCAGTGCGGTATGGAGAAGTGTCGGTTATGGCTGCAATCGCATTCAAAAGAAATTGCACCTTTGAAGGTGGAACTGAAGGAAGGAGACTCTTCACAGCAGCTGGATCGGCATCTGGAATCGGGTAGTTCATGGAGACGATTGTCGAAGCCAATCTTGCCGCCAACAGATCCAAGACACCAGACTTCACCAGAAGTTGGCGATGCTGTGCAGTCTGACATGTTGCTCCTAGCAGCTGTGCAACCGATATAATGTGTTCCAGGATTACGGCGCTGGTTCCGGGCTGCACAAGCAACTCCACCAAGACGTTGACCACGGGTCTCGTATACAGTTGTGCTGGCAGCGAGGGAGAGATCTGCCTGTTGACGGCATCTAGGTCATGACTATATGGCTCAGCGAGAACAAGTAGCGCTCGGAGTGTAGCAAGGACAAGGCGAGGGTCATTGTCCTTGGGTGAGAGGCTAGTAAGGAGAGGTTGGAAAAGGCCACCAGCGATCAGCGGAACGACAAATGGGAGTCCACCTGAACCTTCGTCAGCGTGCACATTTCACATTCATTGTAGAACAATACTGACCATTTCCCAAACTTGCGACAATAAGTGTCGCTTGTAATCGAAGGTCATCCTCTTCGGTCCACGACTTCTCGGCATTATCTCCATTGTCACTCCGTTCCCGCATGCGCTTCTTCCCACTCGTCCTCGAATATGTTGAGAGGATTCGTACCAGCGGCTCGACTATACCATGGCGAATAACGAGTTCTTTCCTCTGGTCATGGCCGATGATTTCGTTCTTCAGCGTCTTCAGAGCGCCGATCTGCGCCGGTATTGATGAGGGGGTTTGGAGCTCCTGGAGAGCGGTTGGAGCTACCGGACGACCCATCTTAAGAACCATTTGGGGTATCTTTATACCACGAGGATGCTGATGTGGGAGGAAGGCGAAGGGCCTAAGAGCTGGGAGTTTGATGCACGGTGCATTCACATCTCTACCTCGCAAGGTGACCCACTGCACGCGGCTGTGCACTTAGGATATAGGTAACTATGAACGTATGTCATAGGCTGAGTTTTTTTGCTTCAGGATCGTGGAAGAAGGGTTAACGTGACGGGGTAGCGGAGTAAAGGGTGTCGTAGCTTGGATTGTTCAGGCTTTCGGTGAAGCCGTCGCCAGGATATGACAGACGTCAACACATCGATGATTTGGTGATCCATGTAATCCGTATGAATCCAAGAACAACGGGCCAGACACGTGATGTGGAAACCTGCACGTGATGGGTGAAGCTCCTTTCACACCCTGCTGTGCTTACCTCAGCAAGCTCAGGCTATTTCTCAGGGGAGTCTAACCTTTTTTGTAAAAGGTCACGTTACTTTAACTACTCCTCTGGTAAATAGCCTGAGGATTCTGTCAATGACACGCACTGCTCTGCATAAATTTTGTATGTGGTTTGTATGTATCTCTGTGGATTTGACAAAATCACGATCCATTAATAACCACATCAAAACACGTCGTATGTACTCCAAAATCTGATCGATTGTGTATTAAAGTATTCTCTATCTCGTAATTGATTTTTTTTTACATGTCCATGCTTGTGTCGGGTGAAAAACGCTAATATGTGATGAACTAGACCACACCGAAATCACCATCCAGCCATCGTTCCGGAGCTTACGGTCGAATGAGCCTGGAAAACACCCATTGGATGTCATATAACGCCTTTCTCGGTCGGTATTCACACGAATATCTATTATTGAACACATTTTGTGTTCATATTTCCCATGCGAAGCAAGGCGAGCGTTCGAAACGGGCGACGAGAGACTGTGGACATCGCCAGAGATCTCGTCCACGATGCCTATAGCACTACGAGTATGCTAGCTATACAGCGGCTGGTCGAAATTGCAAGAGACGTGCCCGAGGAAGTGCAGAAGGTCATCATCCGAGCAGGCCTAGACCGCCATCTCTACCCATTCGAGCCTCGTTAGAAGCAGGTAGATGTTATATGGCATTTAGTATTCAAGTAGGAGGACCTTCCTCTTGTAGCGAAGATATCTTTTGGTAAAAGTGTCATATTCCAGGTAACGCTATTGCTTTGTCGCGGTGGCATCGGCTTCATCCTTATCCCTTTGGATCGAATTAGACAGGAGTATATCGACGGACCGTCCCCTAGTTATAATCGGTCGACGTCTATATACTAAGAGGCGATAAGGATGCCTTTGTTTATTCTGCCACGGTTTCGAGATATCTGTGGGCCCTCTTGTAGCCTTTATAAACCCCAAGCTGGTGAAGAATATCGAGGACACGCCGTTTCACACCATTTGAATGCAGAAAGGCGTCAAATACGCGGGGAAACCTATTGCTCCCTTCCGACCCCCGAGAATAGCAGAGAATTAACGTGACTATCGCAATCCTGTGGTTAAACTTAACAGGATCCCGTGGTAGTCGATCTTTTCTCATCTTAGGTGTCATAAGACTATTAAGCAATCTACATAGAAGAGGAGCACGAGTGCTAACTTGCTCGTATATCTGCCTAGACAGTATGTCGCCTAGTATACACTCGTAGTCCTCGATTTTCTAACCCTCTAACTGTTTCCCCCTCCCTACGCCGGTAGGTAAAGTCTTCTCCTAGATGCAGTCGACTTAATAGGCACTAAACATATCTACGGCTTCTTCTAGTGCCTTCATTTCCTTCCTTAGACCCTTTATAGTGATAGTTCCTGCCGCACTAGACGCGGGATTCTTATTAGTGCGTCTAAGACCTCTGGGCTCTGGCTAACCGTAGACAGCCTCAGCGAGCTATTTGGCTCGCGTGACAGAGCACTCTCTATAACCACCCAACCCTTAAGTCGTCGCGTAGATGTAGATAAATTCTCAAAATTTAATGCTCTTTTCTTCATGAATTGACATATCTCATTTATTCTCTGTGGCTTACTGCGTCTTTGAGACCCTCTTACTTTCTGATGTGGTGCATTAGATGTGTTTGACGCAGCACTATGCTGAGGACTTGGAGCAAGTAGCAAAGTGGGCGAGTTCAACCGCGCGCTCTGACGACGCTGGTTTCAGGCCGACATGACCCAAAATTCAATCAATTATGGAGAAAAAGCAGGGGAATCGAATGGTTATATTTAATTGACGGAGCACAGTGTGGTTGTGGAAGAAAATGGAGTTAAAAATGGTCTTCCATTTGGTATGAAAGCTCTCCACACACACCCAAAACCCATTGACAGAATCCTCAGGCTATTTGTTCGAGGAGTGCATGTGACTTACCGATTAGGTATAGTCCCACTCCGGTGCCTTGGCACGACCACAAATAGCCTGAGCTTGCTGAGGTAATGCTGTGCTCCATTCACACCCGTACCCCGCTCCATTTACACCCTACCCGGTCACATGACATACCAATCCTGGTCACATGACATACCAATCCCTTAGAATATCTGATGCAGATGGGCAAATATAACGTATTTGAGACTCCCCTATATAGGGAGGTACATCTACATGGTGCTAGGAGTAGTATCATGTAGTGGGGGCTACTTGACGAAGCTGAGATCTGCCTAGAAGAGGCAGAAAGATGAAAAGCTTGGAAACGCATAAGCAGGGCGAAGATGAAATAGGGAATTACGATCGACATTAGCAGAGCAAGATTCAGCGTGTTTCTTTCGTAGGCTCTATGGCCTTAAGAGATGTATCAACTCATCAGCAACGATAACGAGGACAAGAACGAGGACGAGGACGTATTTGAGACATCAATTCCAGTTTCCAGAATATGCAATCGAGCTCGGTAGATGAGGAGATACGCAAAGCTCTTAAGCCGCTTCAGAACGGTCTTGAGAATGTCTTTTACAATGCAATATCTGGAGCATTCTCTCGACTCCGCGAGCGCGACCTCTCCGATAACTCTCAGCATAATCAGAACGAGATCCCGCCGCAGGATACCCTACATTCGCGTTCTAGCCTAGAAGAGTGGCTAGAAAGACCTTTTTCTCCGCCTGGCTTATGCTCCGAGGCCACTACAGCGCTCCGAGAACAGGTTCTGGAAGGCCGACAGAAGCAAGTCCCGCTTAAGGAGCTTCAATCTCTAAAGTCCATCTGGTCGACTTCATTGCAACAGAACTACGGACCTTACGCATCCTTTAACCGTGCCTCCCTCCACCATGAAGCGAAGCAACATTTGGAGAATCAGAGACTTCAGGATAGTATCAATGCGCAAGAAAATCCGCCAACGAACAGAAGGCAAAGAATTATGCGGACCTATCGCCACGTCACGATTTCCTCGTCTGAGTCAGATATCCTTTCAAGCGATACCGATACGAATCGTTCATTTCAGTCGAGAAGTAGCTATATTCCTATCGAAGAGATTATTAGCGATACTAGTGGTCTACCAAGACAGGATGAGGCTACTCCTCCGCAGGCAGAGGAACCAGCTCATCTTATTCCTCATCAACCGCCAGTCGGATGGCCTACATTCCAACAGGCGTGGGAAGATATTCTTACCTTTTCAAAGCAACATAACTTTGGTATTCGGGTTAATCGTTCAAAGAAAGACAACCAAGGTAATAGGACAGAGAAAACGAAGTACTGGATCACTTGTGACCGCCACGGCCGGTATGAATGTAAAGGAAGAGCTCGGGAGACGAGATCATTACGCGATAACT